TCACAGTGATTGTTGGTTGCTTTCTGTGTCTTTCTATTTTGGAGCTCGCCTTAACCGAAATGAAAGGTACTCTTTTGGTGGTTATTATATTATAATTGAGATAAATCAGCATTTACAGATTTTGAGAACACTTTATGAAAATGCGGGATCCCTCTGCTGTTCCTCTTGTGAAGCGTGGGGGTACTTTTGGAACTCTTAATATAGTCTATGCTGAGTTCTTTATCACTAATGGTCACCTTCCTGTCCCTTCCCTTACGTGGTTCCTGCTATCATGTAGAAGTTCATGGAAAAAGAGGGATAACTTTCTCTTTGTATGTAAAGTTGCTAACTTGCTATAATTGAATGTTTTAGTGGTTGAGTGAGGCAATTTTCGAGGGGGAACGTCCCGATAAGCCATTGTAAGCATTGGAATCATCTAATTATCTTGAATTCTTTTCACTTCTCTGGCTTTGTTGATAGAAATTGGCAGAAAAACTCCTTGTACATATCATGGAGCATTTTCTCTTTTTGGATTTTATACATTTAAGGAAAATATTAGAACGAAGATGACTTTATTTTGTTATGACTTCATAGAGGAATCTCGTGAAAGTTTCTGCAGCCAAAGTGTCTTAATTGTGTAATGGAGGTGAAGCTTTAAGAAAGAGAACGTGTTCTCACTATTAATGAAGCAGCCAGCATACTACACCAAGGTCTACCGATGTTCAAATGGTGATCCATCTTATAATTGGTCTAGATTTCTGAGAGAAACATAAAAAACAGAACTTGGTCCGAGGAGTCTATAGTATTTGATATGGGCACTTAATAGGGAAAGTGAATTTGCAAGATGGATCTTTAATGCTTGTAGCTGATATAATTAATACATCTGCCTTTAGCAACACACTGAAGACGAGTTATTTGAACCATACTTAATCAAGAAACGATGCTAATGCTGTTTTAACCTTTCATTGAATCCTATAAACTGGAGTACCGTCTAATTCTGCCTATGTTATGCTATGTGTCAGAAAGGCCTGATCATAGCATTTCTTGGCATTTATTGTGCGTTTGCTATGAGGAATCTCTGTACTGGAGAAGCACGGTTATTCTCAGTTATACATTGAAATGTTGGATACGCTACATTGTTAAGACTTTCATTCAATGGTAACAGTGCTCGGTTTAAGAAAATAAATAGCTGCTCTGTGCTATCAGGTCTCTATTCTGCACCTTCCACTTCATTCAATCTTGAAGAGAGACAAGTTCTGTTTGTCCAAATGATGAATTCTTCTTGAGTATATCTGGTTGTAGATTTTCCTGATGGGGCAGAGGGGATGCATTCTGTTGGTTGTATATCTTTGTCATGCTTGTCGTGTATTGAGATTGTAACTTTTTTCTTGAAGATTTTAGCGTTCACCAAAACAGCCTTTTGGTAGTTAGGATTGATTACATGTATCTTCCATGTGCATGTACCGCCCTTTAAAAGTTAGTTCTACGAGTTCTGACGTCTATCCTTAACTTTCTATATTAAGTACACAAATTATTGCATAATTTTTTTTATGAAGGGGAATTTTATAGATGGCATCCAGAAGATGCAAGAAGTACAAAAGAGAGTACATAAAAGACAGTTAGCTATGAACAAAAAGTGCTAAGCAAGAGCTAAAGAGCTGACAAAATCAAAAAGTTAATATGACAATCATTAGGAGCTAAATTGTGCCAACTTTACAACCATAGAAGACATCTAGCCTTAAGAACCATAGAAGGAGTTGATATCCCATGAAAGCACCTGCAATTCCCCTCTGACCAGACACACCAATAGATGCAGGCAGGAACCATCTGCCAGATTTTCCTGATGGACTTATCAACTTTCCAGAAAGACTAGCATTCATAGACTTATCAATTTACTGCATAACACTTCTCTATGCTTTTATCTTCTGTGAGTACCGTCAGATTGTTCACCGACTTAAGCTGTGGTCTGAAGTGATTTAGATCATTGAAGCTTTTCTTTACAGTCTTTTCACGAACTGGGCATAATTGAGAAACTATATTCTGTTGTAAACGTTTGATGTGGTGTATTGCCAGTTCTTAATTTTTTTTGCTCAGATGTCAATCTACTCTTTAATGGTTTTACCCCATGATTTCTGAAAGGCTGACCATTTTATTTAAAGTTGGAAATTGTTTCTTTGGATGTTAGACATCTGAAGTGGAGGAACATCTATAGTTATGCAACTTAAATATGCAAAAGCTTCAGAATCTCCCCTTTGAAGCTATCTACTTACGCTCCTTTGTTCAAGGGTGTCTAGCCTTATCTAGCCACTAGATTACCTTGATTTAGATGTAGAAAGTACATTATGTTTTCTGAGTTGATATTTCCTTCTGGTTGTACTTTTTTTAGGGGACAACCTCTTGGCGCTAATAACAAGTCTTAGACACTTTGCTCTGTCTAATCTAGATTGCATTTCTAGTAATAAATAACATGCATCTGCGTATAAAGAGAAAAAAATTGTTAAGGATATTATCACCTGTTTGCCAAGGCGCTCTCTTTCCTAGAAATCTCATAGTTTACTCTTCTTGGAGGGGAAAAGTTGCACATAGCTCCATCCCTTGCTTTGCATTGCATCTAATCCTTTTTTCTCGGGCATTGCTTTAGATAAAGTTGTTGAATTGCCTTATTTATAGTCCTATTCACCACTTTCATCACCCCATTATCTTCTTTTCTGGTGGATGTGTGGAGGTTTGGAAGAGGTTAAAAGAATTACGACATAGTCACTCTACCGGTCATTTGTGGACAACCTTTTGATTTGGTCCTTTTTAAGTTGTGCCTGGTTAAACTATACTTTATGTGTAACTTTTCTGCTGGAAAGTCTTTTGTTATCCTGATTTTCAATATACTGTTGCCAAAGGCACGCTTTAAGCGCGCTTAAGCCTTGAAGCAAGGCTCAAAACATGTTGAGCGCCTCCTCACTTAGCAGGCGCTTCAGTGTCTTCATCAAGTCTCTAAGGCATTCTTTTTCTTGCCAATGAGCTTAACGCTGAAGAGGCGATACTAAACAATTGATATTTCACTCTATCATAATTTGTTTTCAAATTTTTTTGTCCATATATTATTATTCATGTTTATGATTATTAGTGTTGGACTACACATAAAAATTTGTTTTTTTCTCCTTTTGTGCGTTTCTTCAGTAAAGCCCACACTTTATTTGCGCTTTGCGTTTAAATCCCCAACGGAGCTTAGAGCTTTTTTTGCGCTTTTCGCCTTTGATAACACTATTTCGATACTTGTTGGACAGGAAGCGTCTATTCAGCATGATGAATGATCTGCCCACCGTCTTTGAAGTTGTGACAGAAAGAAAGCCTGTAAAAGATAAGCCCAGTGCAGATAGTGGGAGCAGATCACGTGGTAGCATAAAGGTAGGGAAAACATCCAAGTCTTCCCGTTAATTTGTTGTTAGGTCCCCTTAGTATTAGGACTACTAATGCAAAATATCGGTAACACCATGGTACTCTTATATTGAGTTCCTTTAGTTTCTCTCTCAGAGTTTCATGATCTACTATGTATGCGCTTGCTCGCTCTCTCCCTCGTTGCTAAATGCCATTTCCCCCCGTTTTGTACAGAGATCTAATGATGGTCAGGCTAAAAGCACCCCAAAGCTGGCAGATGAAAAGCTGGCAGATGAAAGTTACGAGGAGGATGAAGAAGAACATGGGGAAACACTCTGTGGAAGCTGTGGTGGGAACTACAGCGCTGATGAATTTTGGATTGGCTGTGACATCTGTGAGAAGTGGTACCATGGAAAGTGTGTGAAGATAACACCTGCTAAAGCTGAGAGTATAAAGCAATACAAATGCCCGTCTTGTATGAAGCGGGCAAGACAGTAGTCATCTCATGAATCAGAGGACATGGGGGCATCAATCCTATTGTTTCGCCATTAACAGAATAGTACAGCAATATTACATTTGTAATGGATATGCTATTGTAATTTTTCTTTTCTTATATATGCTCAGAAAGGGGATGAAGAAGTTTCTCTTCTATCCTTGATCCATGTTCGGATGTTGACCAAATCCCAATATATAGAAAGTTTGTTAATTTACTTTACATGCTCTATCATGTTAAATGTTTCATAGTTATTTGTAAAAAAGAATGTTTGTTGTTACATAGTGCTTTGTTATTTTGATGGTTTCATAGTTTGTTACTGAATAAACAATGTTGACCAAATCCCAATATATAGAAAGTTTTGTTAATTTACTTTACATGCTCTATCATGTTAAATGTTTCATAGTTATTTGTAAAAAAGAATGTTTGTTGTTACATAGTGCTTTGTTATTTTGATGGTTTCATAGTTTGTTACTGAATAAACAACAACAACCCAGTATAATCTCACATGCGGGGTTTGGGGAAATAAACTAATGAATGCTGTTGGATTATGTAGACTACATGCCTTTTTACCAGGTATAATTTCCAGAGAAAGACCTGATTACGTCAATAAGTGGTCTGTTAATTTTTTATTAATGGTGTGCTATTTGGATTTCTTGTGGGATTCTACTGGGTCATTGTTGTTGTTGGTGTGCTATTTGGATTTAGTTAACAATATGAACCAAAAGATGAAAATAGATGGAATATATCAAGATTCAGAGTGGTAAATGGTGTCTGAAAAATTGAGAATGAAAGCTGGCTTGTAGTTAGCCTGTTGTATGCCTTATTTTGTCTTATAACTCAATTCTTTAGGCAGGTTTCAGATACTTACAATAGAGAAGTGACAATTTTTACTATTCTTGTTAGCTCGTTATTGCTTATGAGTTTAGTTCTCTTCACCGCTTGATATAAAAAGCAAGATCTTGTGTATAAGAAGTTGGGGACTCTTTTTAACTTAGCTTGGTTTATTCCGAAAATTAGCAGCATTCTACCTACCCTTTTACATAGAATCCATCAACTTGTTAACATTATCTTGACAACAGCTTTACTTAAAGTCTTCTTTCTTTGTCTATAAGCTTTGGCATAGTTCCTCTGCAATGCCTGGGAAGTTCAAAGAGCTGCTGAGTTCCAATATGGGTTCGAATCGTTCCGATTGTTCATCAAAGGAGAGACTGAAATGGACTCAACAACTTCATGACCTGTTTGAGAAGGCAGTTACTCAGCTTGGAGGTCCAGAAAGTAAGCATCCTTTTATTTACGTAATTATGTATTTGCCACACTCTCTCACGTGCATGCCTTTTCTACTAATGTTACTAATGTGTGGCGGTGAGACTTGAACCAAGAACCTCTTGCCTGCTCGATATCATAATGAACTATGTGACCATCTCATATGAAAGTTTAAACATACTGTTTGTAGGAGCATACTTTTATTTACTTAATTATATGTCAACACCTTCTAACACACCCATTCTTCTTTTTTTAAAAACTAAATTGGCTTGCAGGAGCAACACCAAAAGGAATTTTGAAGGTTATGGGAATTGAGGGACTGACTATCTTCCATGTTAAAAGCCACCTACAGGTTTTACTTATATCCCTTGTGATCATTTCTTTCCTAATTGCATATCATTTCTATCTTTTGTGCCAAACATCTTTCCACCTCTTTCTGATTATTTATAGTTTCTCATGTCATAATGCTACTTGCTAGGGGTAAAATATTTACCGTTCATGCATTCAGAGGCAAATTCAAGATTTAATCTTTTATTCTGATTTCTTGAAAAATATGCTTTCAAAACTTAATATTTACTATTTTTTAGAGTTTTTCATGCACACATGTATGTATATGTTTTATGCTTAAGAAGATGAATTTAATTGAATTCACTCCCGACACGCTAGGTCCGCCTATGTCTTTGGTCTTTTTCTCTGTTTTGGTAACTTACTATTCTAATCTTTACAAAAATATTTCTGTTTCCACAAAAGACTCAACTGATCATGTATGCATGCAAAAGCTCAACTCTTTGCTTTATTATTTATTCATTTCTTATTTTCTCTTTCAATCACAACAGAAGTACAGGATGTCAAAATTTGTACGTGAAGATCCCGTTAGTAAGTCTCTTCTAGAATTTCCATTTCCTACATGCAAGTTATGTAATATACTAACTTTTTCTAGTTTTCTGGCTTTTCATTTTCTAACATATATATAGTTGGCAAGTTTGAAAGGAGAAGCATATCAGAAATTTTGCCAAATTTCAGTGCCACAGCGTGAGTTAATTACTTCTTCATTCCTTAAACCTTATAAAAAGTTCTTCCTCCAACCATTATTTTCACCCTTAATATTGCTCAAAATTTGGTATGAAATGTTAATGGATTTTACTTATATAAACAAATAGTTTAAATAATATCTACATTCTCAGTGTATTTTAACCTGTTGTAGCTGGTAATATGCCTTATTGTTCAGGTTACTAATCCCACGTATTATGAACAATTATCTGCTGTCAGTGTAAATAAGTTAAGCTCAATGTTAATGTGTATAGGGGCGCTCAACTTCATGAAGCACTACAAATGCATATGGATGCACGAAGGCGATTAAGCGATCATCTTGAGGTAAATTTTCATAAGTTCTAAATTATTGTTTTTATCCATGTTTCGAAAGTTTTTAAGATCAAATGTTCTATTAAAGGTTCAAAGAAACTTGAAGATGAAACTTGAAGCACAGGGAAGATTTCTAGATGGAATAATGGAAGAACGAAAAGCTCGTGCTTCAAGTTCTAGGCTAAGCTGCAAGTCCTACTCATATTCACCCTTGTCATTACCATCTCTATGTGACGAATTATCTGAATCAAACGTTAAAGAACTCGAATCTGATTCCGAGGTTGATAGAAACGAGATAAGGTCTGTCGATCCTGAATGTCAAGCACGAAAAAGGACTCTAATTCATGAAGATGTAATATTGTCTCATCGATACAATAGTAATGTTGCATATTCATCACTCACTTCTGGAGCTCAAAATCATCCTTATAGTTCACCACATGAATTACCATGGAGTACTCTTGCTTCATATGATTCTCTTGTGTAATCAACTTAGTCAAATATGTTCTTGAATTAAAGAGTATTGGGCATGGCTTAATATGTTTGAGTGAAAAAAAAAACGTATGTTAGGCCAAATATTGTATTCAAATAAAACCACCTATTGTGTGATACGTTATATTATCTTGATAACATACGTGGAGTATATATATGCTTTGTACCTCTTACCAATTTACATCTGGGGTTGTTCTTAGTCATCAAGAATTCAAGGTGGAGTATATATATGCTTTGTACCTCTTACCAATTTAATGATGAATTATGATACTTGCATCTTCTCGTCTTCTTTTTGTTTGTGCATCTACGATTCTCATTCTTTCATTTTTCGTTTCTCTATATCTTTTTGTTCACTTTATCTTTGGTCATTTGGTTGGAGGGATTAAGAAAATAATCTCAGCTTAAAATCTCGCGTAAAATAACACAATGTTAGGTTGGAGGTTAAGAAAATTATCCCCGCATAACTATTGTTGTGTTTGGTTAGTCTATAATATAGCTCCTACATAATTAATTTATGTAACATTAAATTATGCGTGATTTTATGTAGTATTTATTTATTTATTTATGCATAATAGAATGTGAAATAAGAATACATATGTAAGTAAATTAAAAATACAAGTATTTAAAGATAAAAATACCCTTAAGGTAAGTGATTCCTAGAAAACATTCTATATATTATAAATCATACCATAACAATTCTTACATTATGATTCACCACATATACCATGTCTACATTATAGTTAGTGAATTACTAATATGTGAACCAAACAAACAAAACAGAAGTGATATCATCTAAGCGATAGAGAAAACTTATAGATGGGTGGTCTTACTACGATCAGTCAAGCATTTCCAAGTTTACTTAGGGATGTAAACCAAACCAACGACTTGATTAATAAGTTAGTTTACTGAGTAATAAAACCGAAATTAAACACGAGTTTTATATTAGTTATTCGAGTAAAATTTGACTGGATGGTGCATCACATACAGAGAAAATACTGAGTTTACTCCAACCCAGTTTACCCTAAAATTCGAGTAACAATTAAACTTATATAGTGGATTTAAGGATATTGTTTACCCTAAAATCTGAGTAACAATTAAACTTATATTGTGATTTTAAAGATATGTGATTTAATCCAATACTAATTGATAAACAAGGAATCTAATGTATAAATTTAAGAGTAAGGCAAGTCAAACCAATCGTGTAAGCAGACCTCGACCTCGAGGTAAATGAACAAGAACAATAAAATAATAATAAGGCGATTCAGATGAACAGTAGGCAAGAAAGTGAAAATGTATATTCTCTTCTCCATGATTCATGCGTTACAAATGATTGGGGTCCCCTTTATATAGTAGGGGAATCCTAAATAAGGTACAATTCTAATTGTAGTAGGGAATCTTATTATACAGCTGTCTAACCACCTAGTACAAATCCGTTCCGGAATTTACACCGTGATCTTAGGGCCACCGCGGGAATCTCGCTCTTTTTGTTATAAAACCATAATGGTATTATCTCGAGGTTGGTCATATTCGACCTCGGTGTTCATCGAGCACTCCGATCTTCGAGCATAGTATTCTGCCATCAGGCTCGAGCCCGGTCCATATTGAACTTGTTTCACGACGCGACCCCTCGAGCCTACGGAATCGGGGACACATGATTTTGATCGTATATAAATATTTCCCGCGTTTCTTAGAATAAAATGATAAGAAACGAATTGAGCCACGATTTTCCGGAATCCTTGATGATGACGTCATTCCCGTAATGTAGGCGCTCGAAGTGACCGAAACGTCCCGTCGTTTCGCTTCCCTAAAATATTTAATGCTTCACCAGTGGTGGTCGGCCACTAGCGCCGTCGAATCGTCGCCGCTTGCCTATAAATATAAGGTTCAATTTCGAAAAAAAAAACTTTACTTCAATCTTCAGACCATCTCCAAACTCCTTTTATCTCTTCATCTCTTCTCTCTCATTACCTGTTACTTGATCCCTTTTAGCGCCGATAAAACATCAAGCTCCACCTACTTCCGCCTATACTAACCCAAGTCAATGGCAAAAACCTCCAAAACAGTTCCTCAAAAAGAGAAAGCATCCTCCTCCTCTTCCCGGCCGACCGGTGATAAAGCGCCGGCCCTTCACGAGATTATTCTCGGTCCCTGTGTCATAAAGAAAGACTTTAACATTGAAAATCCCCCCGCAATCCTTGGCCGATGCGAGCATGTATCCCTGTATATTTGCTCGATAACGGAGAAGCACCTCAAGGCCGTGAAGAAGGACTGTGGCTGGGGGCGTGGTACAGATCCCCGACCCCGAGGAGAGCATTACTACTCATGTGGAGGGGTTCCTGAGTGTTTACACTTACCCCTTCACATTGGGTCCCATCGATCCAATCGTGATCGACTTCTGTAAGAGGTATCAGGTCACCCTCGGCCAGATCCACCCTTCTTTTTGGCGTATAGTGATCATGCTTCGCTATTTCTCCAGCAAGGCCGAGGGGCTAGATTTTACTCTTAATCACCTTATCCGATTGTATCGGCCTCAACTTTACCGAGGGTTGATCAAGCTTCAACGCCGGGCGACCAAGGCCTTCTTTGCTAGCAATGACGAGGATAAGGACCGGGGCAGGATGAGCTAGTTCGTACGAGTGAGGACCTCGGACGTCATCTCCGAGGAAAAAATGTTGTTCCCAGAAAAGTGGAACCCCGATCGTAAGTGAAGTCTTTTTTATTTTATTTTATTTTATTTTTATTTTTTAGTAGCCTTTTATATTCCGTTTTTGCTTTGTGTGATGCCTTCACCTTTCTTGCAGCTGTTGCTTGGATGCCTCATGCGGTCACTGACCTCGAAGACTGGGTCCGGAAACTAGCTGCGACCTCCTCGTACGACGAGCGCCGATGGAGTGACTTGGCGAGGGGCAAATGGGAAGCCAAGCACCACGGTTAGTTCTTTTCCCAATGCTTTCCCCTTTACTGGAGATGTCATCTAACTCATGCCTAATTTTCATTCATGTAGGCATTGGAGATGTCTCTGAAATGAGGCCAGCCCCGCCCGGGGAAGAGACCAAGTCCCCTGATTCCAAAATCGGGGAAAGATAATAAGAGAAAAAGGGCTTCGAAACCCGAAGGCCCCACTTGAAGGCAAAGGAGGAAACTCATTCACGTGGGCATAGGCTCAATACATTAACTGAATGATGAAGATGAAGACGAGGGTGAAGAATCGGCGCTGGTGACCCGGCTAGGAAGCCAGTTGAAGCCGTCAAGCCCTCCAAACCGGAGACCCTGCCTCGTGGTGAGGAAGCTCCAAAGAAAGATGCAGGCAAAGCCCCCGAATCGCCTGAGGTCGAGATTGTTCCTCCGCCCTCAACAAGCATACCAAAGGGGACAAGTATCGAGATCCCCGGGATTGAACAGAGTGCCTCGAGCGACTTGCTCGGGGCTATGTCCTCTACTAGCTTATTCTGAGGAGGCAATAAGGGAAGCTTGAGCTCTGCGAACGCCTGACCTGAGCGGAGTCCCCGGTGAAGAAGATCCTTTCCGGAATTGCTTTACTGGGGTTGATGATGCTGCAGACCTCAACGACGCATCCACCCTCTCCGAAGAGGCTCACCGTCTCTTCTCTTAGGTAAGCATTAACTCCTATCGTTGAAATTTCTTTTTCTCCCCTCGCCCTAACTGATATATCTTTTTCTGCGTAGGCCATTACCAGATTTAAGGCCGAGCTGAGCCAATGCAAGGCCGAGCTCAAGAAGTTCTCGGATGAAGGGAAGGCCCTGAATCTCCTTTGCAGCCAAAAGGAGGAAGAGCTCAAGGACCTTCGGGCAGACTTGGCCAAAGCTTGTAAAAATGAGGCCGAGCTAGACAAGCAGGTAATCATAATTTTGAAAGAGCATGGTCTACTTGACCCAACTGTGGAGGCTAACACTTCAGTGTCTCAGCTGCAGTAAAAACTGGAGATGATCGGGTAGCTTCGAGGGGAGGTCGATCAGGGTAAGGCCGACTGCAACCGATGGAAGGAAAATATGGATCGACTTGCTGCGGAGAAAGACGTTGCTCTAGCCAAACTGGCCTCGGCTGAGACCCAGCTCCAGGGTGCTAAAGAGAAAAATTTGGCCCAAGCCAAAAAGATCGACGAGCTTGAGGCCAAACTTGCCGCAACCAGGGCTGAGGTTGCTGAAGCCAGGGCCGAAGTCGAGAAGACGAAGGTCACGACTGATAAACCATTGCTGTGCACTTAAGGGATGCTGAGGCTACTTAAATATAGCTAAAGGAAGCCTCCGATCGGTAGAAACGAAGCAATGATTTGGCCAAGTGTCAATCCCGGAGGAAGACCCTCGAAGAGATCCATGCTCGAGGTTTCGACCTCTCCGAAGAGATAGCTCAAGCAAAAGCGCTCGAAGCCGATGCCAAGTTTCTCGTCTCCTCCTCCGACGATGATGATGACGAAGGCAGCCAAGGCGGGTCCGATAATGAAGTTGGGCCCGAAAAGGAAGCTGCTCCCGAGGGAGAGACCAGCCTTGGGCATAGATATGATTTTTCTTTCTCTTTTGTGTTTTTCTTTTTGTAAGACCTTTCGTTGATCTCTTGTACATATCCTTTTCCAAGTATATAAAAGAAGAATTTCCTTGAATGTTTTCTCGATGTTTCTTGCCTTACAAAAGTTCTCGTAATAATTTCACTCTTTGAACGGTGTGTTCGAGATTTTATCTCAGATGGTTTCTTTGAAATTACCATGGTCGAGTTCGAATAAGGTTCGAACTTTGGGGCATAGACCTTTACGGCTCGTGCCGGATAATGGTGAGTCCCTGAGCCATACTCATTTATTTAGGCTCGGGATAATCGAACCCTTGAATTCGGATCGAGTGAGAACAAGGTCTTGAACCCTAAGTGTATCGGCCCTTAGGCTCTTTTAGATCGGGCCATTATGGCCTCTAAGAGATGGCTTATTATTTCCCCTTTTTGGCTTAGAAGATTTATTAAAAATTTATTTATGCCTTGGCATGCATT